TCGAAATACCAATTCATCGAAATATTAATTGATCGAAGTACATTTTGATCGTATTATAATATGCTTATAATATTCAACTATACTTACCGATACGTCTCAAACGCTTCGTATAGATTTCAGGAATTCAATGATATGGAAGATTTCATTGTGAGAAGCTGTTAGAAGTATAACTATAGTGAGCAACATAATATATTATGTGTTTGGTACATCGCTGGCCTAATAGTTCAGGTATTCCCAGTAATTACGGAATGAAGGTTCATTCAGGCCGAGTCCGGTTCTTCAAAAACAGTAGTCCCTCTTGTTCTCTCGAGTGATTTTCTGAAATATATATACTATCTAGGAAGGAGTTTCATTTAGGCCGAGTCAGCTTAGATTGTTCAAGGAAAGTATTCTCTTTTTTTTTCTCAAAAATGTCAATTCCCAATTTCAGAGGATTTTAATTTCTCATGCTCACTTTTTGGATATTCAACAGGAATAATTCAATGTTCGACGTGGCGCATGGCCAGGAAAGTAGTTGTTTTTTGTCGAATATTCAGAATGATATTATGTACATATCTTTATAGGAAGGAGAGTACAAATTCTCTACTTCAGAAGATTTTGTTTTCAAATTCTTATCGCGTATCCGTGTATGTTCAATAGATGTTATTCAATGTTCGTCGTAGCATATAGCCAGGAAAGTAGTCGTTTTCTGTTTGATAGACCGAGAAAGAATTGATATTTTCATCACATAGACAATGCGAATTCTAATTGTATTTTTTCATGAATATATCAATTTTTTATGTTCATAGTTATATCTGAGATTATTCCTTTTCAAAAGTAGTCTCCTTGTTAATGCTTATGCAGAATAGAAATTCTCCTTCCTCAACCTTTCGGCAAACAGAGTGTGACGGCTGAAAACGGAATTTATGCTGTTTGCCTGCAATACGTGAAATGGCAGAAGTATTTCAGGTAATGACGGATTTCATTAAATATTCTTCTTCCATGTTATAAGTACGATATCAATATAATTCGATCAATAAATATTTCGATCAGATAATATTTCGATCAATTGACCTACGATCATTTGATTTTTCGATCATTCAATTTCTCGATCAATTAATTTCCGATCAAATATTGTTCGATCAAGTGATTTCGATGAAATAGTTTTTCATCATATTTCTGGCAACCCTTCTGGTGATTGGTGCAAATCTGTGGATCCTAGTTCTCTCAGTTATGAGATACAGTTAAATGCATAGGATTGATGGATCTTCCACTCTAGTAATCAAGTAGTGCCATCTGTCAGCAGAGTGGTTTGCTTGTTTTACAACTTTGCAACATTGTGGCGTAGGGGCCTGCACGTGTTGGCTATAGATGGCAGCATTAGACAGGTGTAAGTCAATGAACTCAATATAAACACCTGGACTAGAGACTGCCGGTTTCTCGAATAACACATACAGCGTGCCAGAGGCAGCTTGAGATCTTTTTTTTTTAATCATACAGGCAAAAAAGTGAGGACAGTGTTTTGTTTCTTCAAGAGGACTGAATTTGTTGGTATTAACTGATAATAGTTGAAAAGATTAGTGATTTCGAATTAATGAACAATGATTATCCATATCGTGTTGCCTTTGGATGCAAGACGAGCATGACAAACAGGAATTGCCCTCCATGGGTAAGTTGAAAATTGTTCAGATTCTTAGAAAAACTATAGTAATTGTTTTTCCAGGATGTGTCTGTGAATGTACATAACTTGGATTCTGAGGGCAATGTTTTTTCATGGACATTGATTTGCTCACAAGTTCACGGTCCACAAGGATGAAAATCTTGATGAGGTAGTAGAAAAACATTCTGAAGGTAGAAACAACAAGTTCGAGCCAAAAAAAAATAAAATGATCATCTTGATGAGGAAGTAAGAAAACATTTTGAAGGTAAAAACTACAAGTTCAAATTTTCAAACACAAGAGCTACATTATAATATTTATTGTTATTCCAGATTAACCTGTGAGGCTCCTCCTTTTCCAGAAAGAGAAAAATCAAGGTGTACATCCTGGGCGATGCAGATATCCATCGTCAATGAAAGATATCGTCCTATGATTGTACTTTTCTTCACTTTTCATTCACCTGTCATTCATCTTCTAATTGCGAAAAGTTTATGGAAAAATAGTTACTCTTAAAAATCAGGCTTGAAATTATCGAATGATAATTGATTGCAACATCATCCATTTTCCTAAATGAATATTCATATTTGATCACGTATACTCTTCAATAAAAGCAGGAAACAAGAAAAAATTTCAAATGATGCGAGCGCTTGTCATCAGCCAGCATAAGATAGAGAGAGAGAGATATCCGTAAGCACTGCGGGTTGCTTGAACAATATTTTTGCCTCCCTGGTCGAAAACAGGTGTTTGAATTGAGTTCATTGGTGTGAGTCGTGTTCTCAGGATTCTACTTCAGAATTATGCCACTAGATGGCGACTACATCATGACCACTGTGAAACCCCTATTAGATTTCTGAAATTACTATTTTATTATTATTCAAAATCCGAAGATTCTTGACTCATTTACTTCACGTACCCGAAAGAGAGAATAACAAAAAAGCTGTTAGTACGTGGAATTCTCAAAACTTCAACAAATATGTAGAGGAAATACATCTCAGTATGGTGTGAATCAGGTTCACAGCCACTGTTGCCAGACTTATGTTATCAATTTCTTGGAAAAATTCAAATATCTCTCCAACCTCTCAACATGAATTCATATTGAAATAATCAACCTCAAAAACGAACTGATAGCATCATAGTTATTTTGTAAACAGGAGGGCCTACATTCTGTTGTCCAACTATTGCTATCTCTGAAAAGTCGGAGGTGGCTCTGGATGAACGAGAAGTTGTATCTGAAATCTGATATAACTGAATTGGATATAACACAGGAAATTGAAGGAAAAATGTCCGTGAAGTTTTTGTATTGCCGAAAATAAAAGGCGGCTGTATAGACAAAAATAGATAGTTCTGTTTTTCTCTCAATTATCTTAGGAACGGCTCATGATATCTTTGTTTCCTTCAGATAATCTGTGCACGATGTCAATAAAGAATATACGTTCGATAAATTTTCCTAAACTATATAAATGAATGCAAATTTGAATGATGAAAATTTGCTCATTCTAATTATTATGGCCGCAATAATAGATTGTAGTTCTGCAAATCAGATAACGAAAAATTAAAATAGACTTGTGAAAAAATACAAGGTAGTCGATTGAAAAAAAAAATTGATTCATATAGCACCGTGCTCAGAAAACATTCTGTAGAGATCAAAATAATTTTGATTTGATGACCTTACGATATTGTACAATATTCTTAGGGAGATTTGGCATATTTTATCTCTCATAACAATGAAGCTACAGAACTTTTCGACACTACAGGATACCCAGTATCATGGCTGTAAATATTTGCAATGTTTGGAATTTTCTGGGCTGACTTCCAGTGCTTTTACTTCAATGGCGCCAATGACAACGATAATCATTTGTCATCAGAATCATAAAAATCATTCGATCTATCTACGTAGAAGCAACTTCATTTCAAAGACTTTGAGGTGTCACAGCCCAATCAGCCAAGGTGCAACTTTCAGACGTCTTCAAGACGTATATTTCATTACGTGAGAAAATATTTGGAACGTACATTTCTGATCTCAGAGACGTCTTAGAGACGTTCATTTTCCAGTTGACTGTGCGTCTTCGGAAGGTCTTCTTGGTCCATGTCCATAAATAATTGATCTTTCATGTTACCTACGGCATAATCACATATCTTCCATCGATTCTCACATGTATACTGGAGTCGGCAACCAGTGCTGCCAAGTGGAAAATGAAAACGATACCATTCATTACATTACAATTTTTACCTACTCATAGTTCTGCAGTTGAGCTAGGATATTCCAATGAACTGAGCACTTTCTGTTGAAGGCACCAGATCTGGCACAGGCGAAGATCCAGGGAGACTGATATAATATAAACAGATTTGGACGTGGATCCATCGGCCAACTGCCCCTTGGCGGCCGTGGTAGTCATTTTCCAAAATGGGTGTCTTCGTAGTGTAGAGAATCTCTCTCGCTCCATTGCATTGAGAGATACAAAAAAAAATCTTCTTGAGGATGTAATATAATATCGTTAGGTCAACAGAGAAACATTATGTTGATCTCAACAGGATGTTTTTCAACCGCAAGGCTACAAGATTGGTGAGTCTTTTATGGTCCACATATTTTGATTTATGGTTATCTTGCGTACACAACGCTGCCTAATCTTTGCAATTATGATACGCAGATGTTGATACAATATGTGTCTGTTGATCTTCGTTTGCAAAATGTCCATCCAAAATGATACTTCGACTATCGTTTCAATGAAATCATAATTGAAAGTGTTTTCACAGGGTGATTTTCAATGATCTGTCATAGTTGAATTTTCCGAACGATATATCGATATGAATGAAGCACATCGCAAATCAATCGCAATGAGAAGCAACGTCCAGCTGATTCCACCGACAAGGGCAGTCCTGGAGCAGCACGATAAAAGAGCAGTATATCAGGACAGGCCATTTTGTAAAATGGCCACGCATGGCCGCCAGGGAGCAGTTGGTTCGATGGCTTCACTCTTGAATCTATCCATATTATATCGGTCTACACCTGTGCTGAATTTCGTACTTGAATCAAAAAGTGCAAGATAGTTTAGCAAACCTGCTGTACTATTAGTTTGAAATGTCGTGGTAAAAATTTCGAGTTGAATTTTATTCACTTCCAATCGTCCGATTGATTTGAAATTCGGCGAGTGAATATTATTCCGGTGACAATCAGTTGTGACACAATCATAAGAAATGAAATGAATGGCGGATCCAATATGGCGAACGATTCATAAGATTATGATCCGATTCGAATCAAAATTGGTATCTGTATCATTGTACATTTCTGTACGTCGAATTGACGTTCTCGAATGTACATACGTCTGCAAGACGTCTTTCATATTCCCTGAGAATAATCAGGTCCAAAATGTACGCCTTCAAAATGTACATATTTGTACATCTCGAAGACGTACACGAACTATCGTTTTCGAGGCGTATTTAATACGTTCTTAGACACAAAGCCGTGAAATGTGCATCTTCAAGACGTCTGGTGCTGATTGGGAGAGACAATACATTTCTACCCTCTTTCCATCCTCCATCCTCAAATCTACCATGAACCCCATTGCCTGTCTATCCTCTGACTGGGCATGCTGTTGTAGAAATAGCCGGCTTGTGACGTCAGCCATCTCGATTTAACCATATCGCTGCCTTTCTCGGCTATCATCATCGCCGGAGCATTCGTATTGCCAGATGTTACTTTTGGCATGATGCTGGTGTCCATTACTCTTAATCGGTCTATACCGTATACCTGGAAATCAAAATAATAGTTCGAAAAACTGAAAGAGAATTGAAATTTCACTATTTGTGTTCTACACATACTGAGAATTGTTTTCTTGTTTTAGTTTGCCTATCTGGCCGTGATTTTTTAGTTTGTTCGAAGTAGTAAGTATGACTTTCAAATTCTTCAGTTCGGCTTATTTCGAAACCATGTTTTTTTGTTCATCTCTAACTCTCATGAACAGGGTGTTTCTCAAGTACGTGTGAAAAATTCAGGAGCATGTTGCTGACGTCTAAATAAGAAGAAAAGTTTGAAAAAACATATGTCCGAAAGTTACGAACTTTTCTTCTTATTCAGACGGCAGCAATATGCTCCTGAATTTCCTACACGTACTCAAGAAACACCCTGTATACCTGCTTCCTTCATACGAGTACTTGGTGCAAGACACTATACCGTCGCTCTGGATATCACTATTTCATTTACGAGAACTTATTCATACCGTGTCTCTGGATGTGAAAAAAATCGCTCATCCTGAAGATTCTGATCAGGATAACGAAAAATTGAAAGAGAATAGACTATGCTATTACCATCGGTCCTAGACAAGTTTGCGAAGTTTCCTTTCAATTCAATGTTTTGAAGTAGGTCATATAAATGTGAATTGAGAAGTTGCCAACAAATGAAAAACATCCGAATATTTATTCTCTTATCACACGGAACTTCGTGCCAATTGTTCTCACAGATTGACGTTACTGACAACTTCGAAAGAGGACATTCAGCGAGTCCTCATATGGTCCAAGAGTCGGCTACGAATTTCGACCGTCATCTGTTGACGTAATTATATATGTTTCGAAGGCATTTTGAACCATCGAAGTTCATCGAACGGCACCTGTGCCAATCACTATCCTGAGCAAAATGATTGAAAAATTGCACTTTTCTTCACCGAAATTTGCACTCGATTTCGCTATTTGATAATCAGATAGAAATTATGCCATTGGATAACAATCGAACTATAGATTTCTGAAACCTAGATGAGCAACTCCCCAGTCTGAGCCAAATTCACCACACAGCGATGTATTTGCTGTTATCATTCCTGACATTCGCCCGTCAAGTGAAATGAGACGCAAATTGAAGGGGATGATGTCTTTGCGAATATCCGAACGTGCTGCGATACAAACTGAAATTAACTGAAGTTAGTAGCTCAGCGTCAATACTTTCAAGAGTATTTCGTTCCCCTCTAAAGATAATATCCCATGGACCAGTGTCAAACTCAACATGTGGATTTGAATCCTTTCAGTGTGAGCACCACATGGGTTTCAGACTGTTCCATCAGATACTACATTGCGAAGACGGCGAAATATTCACAGAAATATTGACGCTCAGCCAATAACTATGATAGATTTGTATCGCAGCACGGATGGATATCCGCAAAAGGAACATTTTGCCTCTTTATCTGCTTTTTGTTAGAACTCGTTATTACATGACAAAAGCAAAACCTACTATTCTTTGACGGGAAAATAGAAGAGAATGAATCGCTGTGCCATGAATTTGGCTCAGACTGAGGAGTGGCACAGGCAGGTTTAGTAGTCCATACCATTCAATTGGTATCGGATGGCATAATTCATTTTTCAATGTAGGTCGGAGGGTGATGTGTGAAATCAACGGTGCATTTTTCTTTGTGTGAACGCATCTGGGTAATCGGGTGATATGTAGTGAAGGTACTTAGAAAAGCTAATGATTTCTCGGTAAGTTGAGGCATTTATCGATTTTCATTGAACTCGATGGAGGACAACGTTTAGGTATACGGAATGCCTATTAGTGGCTCATCCTCGAATTCAATTTTCTATCACATAGTTTCGGAAAATTGGAAATGAAAAATTACGAACGATAAGATTTTCACACAGGACATGTTTCGCTAACACGGTAGCTGCTTCAGGTGAATTTCTGATGGTACAATGAACTGAACTTACATTGACTTGCCCCACTTCCATACCCTACTTTCCAAACCCGAGGATTAAAATCACCTGAAAAGGTAAGATAAACATTGAATCGTTTAGTGAACTGTTAGAATTTTGTTGATTCCTACAGATTCTGAATGATTGGATTTTATTCCTGCATTTTATACGTGTTAACTTCCGAAATTATCATCAAAGCTATGGTCTTCTCCTTATATATGGTTCGCATATGTTAAATTTGTTTGTTTCCAAACAATCATCTTATTTCCATCGATTATGTTCACGAATGTTTCGAAAAAGGAAACAGAATCAACAAACGCGAACCATTTGAAAGAAGAGAATCATAGTTTCGATGGAATTGTGGAAATATTAGAAGTAGAAAATGAAAGAATGTGATTCAATCATTTGGATTTGACAGAACTCAACAAACGCTAAAATTCTAACATCATATACTTAAAGGTTAGATCAACCCTTTCAAATAGATCCGGTATATATAGGTACATCGAATTTTGATGTAGATCTTGTGTCTACTTTCCCAAAATCAAGGTTTTGTTACCAATATTTCACCCGAAGAAGATACAGTGTGAAATCTTTAAGTTCGAGAAGGTTACAAAAAAAAATAAGCCATTTGAAAGATTTATGAATTTTCTGCAACTGAAACCAAATTTCAAGTTTGTAATCATCATCAAATCATCTAATGCGTTGCCTACGTTAATCACCCTTCATTGTATGTACTAATCTACTAACCTGGATGAACGCATTTTACATGTCCTCTCAAATTGCTGAAGATTAAATTTGTCAGAAACAGTGTATCAAGCAATTTATGAAATTTTCACTCATGTATGATCATTGATGAAACACAAGAGTTTTATGAGCAACAAAACAAAATCTTCAAATAACAAATTACTTACTTTAAAAAATAAAGGGGCAGTGACGAACAAACGCGCGTTAGGAGAAAGATGATACATAGATATATAGGAAGCCAAATGATGTTATCACTTCTTATTGAGAGTTGTTTCGAAATCTCTCGATATCACCAAGTTCGTTAAAATAGCGAGGAGTGGGAGAATCTTGCTGAATTTCCGAAGTTGCAAACCAAATTTTCAGGCATCATGACACAATCATTTTAGCAATCATTCTCATTTTCAAATTTTTTTGTGTGAATACAAATGGTCCGTTATATTTCTGACTTTCGATGGTGATTCCATAAACGACCCGAAGTCCTTCCTCAACAAAATCCTGTCACAATAGTTTATTAACTCACTTTTGGTACAACGAATGTTCGGATTTCAAAATAAACCTCACACATTGCAGCAAGTTAGTCCATGATAACTCATAACTACTATAATATCAATACTTGCTCAATGAACTCCTTTTCACTTTCAAACATCATCATCAGAGTCACTGGGTGGTATTTGCTAGATACGAGTTCGAACACAAAAATGACAGTTAGAGATTTTGGATGTTTAGATTCAATAAGTCACACACATTGCATTGTGACAACAGTGTCATAGTCGTTCCGCGCCTCTTCATTCAAAATTGTTTTAATTTGACAATACATTTATTGATGTCAGAATTGAAATATAATTGCATGAACTATTGAGAAAATAGCATAAATGAATATAACCAGACAGCACCAGATATTCCATGAATCTCCCTATCATATTCCTTTTGGAATATTGAAATATTCTAGGAATAATCTGAAATATTCCGAAATATCTGTGGAATATTCTCTAAATATGCGAATGGGAATTCCTCAGATATTCATAGAATTTATCCAAAAGAATATTCTATGTTGAATGTTCCTGGAATATTCCAATGAACATATTCTAAAATGAAAAAAAAAGACCCAACTAGGGATCGAACTTGTGACCTCAAGACTATCAGAGCAATAACGCCTTGACCACTAGGCCAGTGATCGAATTGAATAATGTTGTACATATGAATTTCTTGTGAGAGCGTTGTTCGAAATTGGATCATAAACACTTTTTGTTTCAAAATCCCCTAACATCTAATTGATGTTTGATACTCACATCTCTGAAATGATGATTGGTATTTATGTGTTGAGAAACATAGGAATATTCATGGAATATTTCATGAATATACACCACAGAATATTCAGTTGAGAATATTTCATGAATATATACCCCACAGAACATTCAGTTGGGAATATCTCATGAATATACAGAAGGAAATATTCAGTTGGGAATATTCTTGAAGGAATTCATACCTGAATATTCCCTGAACATATCCAACTATTCAGTCTGGAATATTCATTTTAGATGTTCCAGAGGCATGTAAATATTCTAAGAATAATCGATGAATATTCGGAATATACTCCTCCTTTTCAGCATATTCAGAGAATATTCTAGGAATATCCTGTACTGTCTGGGTAATATCCTGCTGTATAATGAATAGCAAGAATTCAGAAGGAAATGGCGATTTCATTGCATTAATTTGAAGACAAGTGAAATCTGTGACGTGAGTACATTCATTAAAATATCACTTCTCATGAACTATATTAAAGGCCCAGTTTCAAGGAGAAGATTTATAAGATCCATTTGAGAGAATCTGCTGTTCCATTGATTCACAAAACAGAATTTTGAAATCACATCACACGAAATACAAAACAGAATTATCAGAGAAAAAGAAAAATTGATTGCAGAGCTTCGTGATGAAATTGAAAATTTTAGATATAAACTGGGGAAATCGAGTAAAAATTGATAATTATAATAAGATAAGAAACGCATTTTGCAATCATCCAAGTACGGCAGCCAGAAGAAAAAGTTGCGTGGTCCCGCTAGGCGCTTGTTATTGTGAATGAAGTAATACAAAGTGACAACGGTAATAATCTGGGATTGTTAACTCAACAGGATGATTCATCCCCCATAGTAACATCAATCAATGCCACAAATTTGACGTGAAGCCGTTCACATGACTTTAGCTGATTGGTGCACTTATACACGTCAATGTTTGACAATGACAGATTGACAGATATTTCGGATTTCATCCAATTCGATATCAGACATCATTTGGAGGTGTATAGGAATTTCACCAGATATCAATGTTGAGGTCGAATTATTTCAAATTATTCTGGAATCATAGGTAGTTCAACCTTCAACAACGGTTGAAAACAACAATTTATTTTTTTGTAGATATTGTTTTGTGAGAATAGAGTCAGTGCAAATAGTAATTTCCCCAACAAGTGTGGAAAGTGATTCTTTCCCGCACGTGACTGCCGTTGACACGAACGACGCGAAGCGGAGTTCGGGCAAGCAGTCGAATGCGTTAAAGAAACTTTCCGCATGAGTTAGGAACAATATTTTTTCTACAAGCGTAGGAAATTGATTGAATCGTTCAATTAATTATTCAAGCAAATAGGAACAACTAACAAGAGATATATATATATATTCTCTTTCTATTAATTATTAGTAAAAGCTATTGTGAACTCACAGTTTGACGCATTATGTTGGTTCATTGCGGAAGCCTGCAGGCCCATTAGGAGTTTGGTCTCTAGGTTCCAGACACTTCGATGAAATGAGCCAAAAATACCTATTCTTCATTCGGTTTTTCAATTTTTTTATTGTTGCACCATTCAATAAAACATGTGTATAGCTTCTCATACCTTTCTTAAGACTTCGTTGGTGATAACGCATCTGTATCAAATCCTTATAGCTAGAAGTTTTCGATCACATTGTGGCATTTCCACTGAATCGAAAATGACAGTAACGCTGTGTCTGTCACTTCGACAATTTCAAACTTATTCGAGGTTTGATTGGCATGACAAATTGACGTTTCCCGTCAGATCAATCCAAATCTATAGGGGGATTTCTATAATAATCAATTTTTATTTCTCAATATTTCTTAATTTTTACAATAAATAGTGCAATTTGATGGAGGATTCTGAACATACATACTTAATACTGCAACAAACAAACTCAAACTCTTGTATTCCATCACCAACCACTTACATTACAAGTGATTTTATTATATCTTTGTTTTCCTGCACTAGTGCGGGAAAATGACACTTCCCAAACTAAATTGCGTGCGGGTATAGGGTGAATCACGCACGCTTGTAGAAAAATATTCTATTGAACTCTCGGGTAGCTATTTCAGATTCATTCACTGTCTGAATATAGGACAGCAACAGTTTCAATGAGGGGAAGATCCCCTTTTGGCAAACGAAATTGGTGCAAAATTTTGTTTCCTACAGTCTAGAATGGTTCCCTCCAAGTGTAGTAGTCAATCCAATATTTTTCTGAAGGATCTCCATAATCCGTGAAAAACTGCATGAATTTTGATAAATAAAATATATTAGTTCACAAACAGAATTTTGGGATGAGAAGTTTGACGAAATTAAAACAGTCAATGGTTGGCGTGACGTCATGTCGTTCCCCCTTTTGATTGGTCAGGGCCGGATAGACCATCCTGTTGAATTAACAATCCTTGGGTAATAATCACCTGTAGCTCAGGATTCACAACTGCCATTGGATCTGTACTTGGTCCCATTTTTGCGGTGCCACACTGATGGTTTTCTGGTCCAGTCTGTCTCTTCGCCGCACATTCCCAGTAGTTATCAGACCCAAACGGAAGATTTTCGCAACCTCTCACTGGACTTCTGTCTAGTTGGATGCCATATTGTCGCAAGGCTATAGAATATTGATCATGTGAAAATCAATTGAATGAATATTCACCAGGAATTTGACAAAAACTCTCCTGATAGGAAAAAATATATTCATTAGTATATTACGTAATATGTATTGTGTGAAGCATATTACGCACGAACGGAAAAGTTATTTCATGGAGATGTAATGATGAGTTCCATGAGATATATTTCGATGATCCACATTTCGATTCTGTGTAATCAGCCAGATATCTTTCATTGCTCTATCCATGCGATTAAATCTTTTTTCTACAAACGTCAAAAAATGACAAGGTTTGCGCATTGATAACAAATTGCGAAGTGACACTTTTTTTCAGTTCCCTACGTTACCATGATACCTTGCACAAAACAATGCGCGAAGTAAAACAGTGCGCGAAGTACCTATTTCGCGCATTGTTATGTAAAATATATGAGATTTTTATATTTCAACTTAATGGTCATCAATCGAGCAAACATCCACGAAATCATTTATTTCTGAATGTGCGGCAATCACTTTGTTTTATCTCTTGGAGCGCACGAAAGAAAATTCCTATTATGTTTGTGGAACATCGTGTGTACCTAGGGTGGAGACGTAGAGGCCTTTTGAGCCAGTTCAACACTATTTTTTATATCAAGCTAAGCATATTTTCACTTTAGAACTATATTTTTTGACGTTTGTAGAAAAAATGTTGTTTGCAACTCGAGCGCGAAATACTCTGGTCATCTTGACTATTTTTTCAACTTGGCTACGCCTCGTTGAAAAAATCAGATCTCGGTCACCAAAGTAGCCTTTCGCGCTCTAGATACAGAAATAACTATTCATTTCAGCAAAGGTCTTGCCTATATTCATATACTTTTCAAAATATGAAAAACTGTATGATTAGTTATACTTATTTTCCTGTTCTGTAATTGGGTTCAACCTGTAGAACAGAGTAACATTAAATAAATGAATGAATGAATCAATATCTAGTACAAGAGATGTAGATGATTCGAAAATCGATAGGAGCAATGGGACCCAGTACAAAAAAATTAAGCAGAAAGATAAGCGAAGTAAACCACTAACTGCCTCTGAAAAACAAAGGAATGTTTGATATTATGATAAATTCTATGATCCAACTATAAGGAACACATTTTCAGATGAATATTTTCCTCATCATTTTCGAGTGAAATCGAGTTGAAAATATTGATGCACTCACATATCATGCATAACGTTGACAATTTTCAAACCATAATGACTATAAAAAAATCAAATACTGTTTTCTTACTAAACAATATCATGGAAGAGCGTGGAATAAAAAAATTATGATGAGAATATAACTTCAACTTTTGTGCATTTTTTTCATTTCCACTACGCCTCATCACAATGTTTATATGCATAATATCTGAGATGTAACAATATTTTCAAATTGATTTTACTCGATAATAATACATCGGATCGTCACTGAACAGGAGTACTTTTTTTCTCTGAAGAGGTGTGAAATTTCATAATCCGAGATTATATTTTTGAAAAATAGGCATACAAAAAATGATGAGCAATGTGCAATGTAGTCCCCACGCTATATTATACACTCATGATTGAAATTTTGAGAAGATTTTATTTTCACTGTATTGGGCATGAAAATTCTAGTTCTTGTACCAAATTGCATCTAATTATTACATGGAGTTTCTGAAATACTTGAGGGATCTCATCTCCAGAAGCCTCCATTCTGGGAGCCGTAGCTTCCTTAGGAGTCATTTCTCGACTCATTTTCATAGAGCCGCTGGTGAAGTTTGTCAAGCAATTTTGGGACACCCTGTATATACCCCAGGTGAAAATGTTATTATATAGCTTATTTCTCACTCTAGAGGTGTATATCATAACATTTCAGGCAAAGTCACATCACATATCAAAGTAATTCCTACTTTTTCTTGCGAATTGATTCACTCACCTGTAGTTTCCGATAACTTCAAAGCTATTTTTATTCCTTCTACCACAACTTTCACGTCATCTGGATGCGTATAGTAATTGGCATAAATCAAAGGGTGGCTAAGAGGGTTGGAATCCCTGAGTCGAAGAGACCCTGAAATGAAGCAGATCATACAAGTTTTTCAAATTTCAGAATATTATACAGTGTGCTCGAGATGAAGATGATCACCATTTGTTCTTGGTAACCGTGAGAGCTACACAACAGGTCAAATCGGCAATAGGCAAGAACAGCAATTTATGTAAAATAATACTATATAGAGCTCTGCACGAGCCAGATTCCAGGGGCTTGACTTGACGCGCATGTTTATAAAATTTGAGCCCGATCCGCGGCATGACACTCATGTTCACTCAAACTCGGCTCGCGTGACCACTTGGCCCGCACCATAGATAATTATACAGCATGCTGTAGATAGGACACTCATATGGGCGTGTTGTGATCTCATATTTGGTTTCTTCCAAACGGACAAAATGAGCTGAGGTCAAATGTCAAACCACAAAAATTCGGACGTGGTGAATTTTTGGTCATTTTCTCTTGTGTTATTTTTTGTGAGTCGAAAAGCTCGTCTCAATATTTCAAATTTGATCTTCAATAATGGAAAGTGATTTCAGAAGTGTTATTCTTTGAACCATAGACAATTTTACAGTTTGGACGAGGTTTGTGTGTTGCGATGGTGGCTATTTACTGTACAGTGTGTCCAGTTTTCGATGCTTTTGCGTGATATCTCAGTTATCTTTCGAGATAAAACTTCGTGGTTTTCGTGGTCCTGTACCACTTTTCTGTGAAACTCAAGATAGCCTAATCAGATTTTGCATAACTGTTTGCGTTTATGAAATACAGGGCGATTTTGAAAATTTATACTTTTTGGACTACCTCTATATCTACGTTTCACAGCGAAAATTTTTTTTTCTGGGTATGGTTTCGGAAATCGCAACACTAGTTGATTGAGATAACACAAAAATTAGGTACCTGATAGCAACAAATGAATGGTATAGTATATCCAATATCAATTGCAGAATATCCCGCACTGTGCGGCGTCGGCGTGTTTGAAGATTCCTTTGAAGTGACTGCAGGTGCGGCATAAGATTCTGCAATTGTTCTTGGATATACTATAATGAAAAGTTCATATTCCAGAATAATTACCTGATTTAATATGCACTAAGACAATTGAATTCCGAGAATAATCAGTAACTTATTCATTGAATTGTTCAAATTGATGTCCACTTTCCCTCAAACGCTTTCTCAATACGTCTTGATGCATTCAAAATCATTGAAGGATATCTCTGTAATTCCTGGAAAACTGCCTATGTTGTTGCACAAGGGTATTCAAGATATTTGTGACTCTTACTGTATCAAGACGTATTGAGAAACTGTATCAATTGTGTGTTATGGGAAATGGACATCAATTTGAACAATTCAGTGGATAAGTTATTGAATAATTCACAAATTCAATTGTATTTGTGAATATTTAATCTGGTGCTTATTCTACATTATGAACTTTTCATTACTATTTATTTGTTGCTATCAGGTACGTAATTTTTGTGTTTTCTTAGTTGATTAGTATTGGTATTGTCTTTGTCCTCTTTATGGAAGAATCAAAATGAATATTCCTTCAATTGAAACTTTTTTATAAGAAAAATCTATAGCCCAATATTAAAATTCAATATTTCAGTGATTTCAGAGCATTTTTGAAAATTTAATATACATACATTATAAATCATTTTGAAGAGAAAAAAATGAGGAATTTCATGAGCTCATAAAATACAGGGTGTTCCATCTAGAAAATCATAAGTTTGAGTCGTATCTCCAAAACCATACCCCGAAAAAAAAATGTTTAGTGCGCCAATAGATTCTTCGTAAACTTGCATATGGGATGAGATTCAAATTTGTCATTTTTGCTGAGAAACTTCGTAGATATAGAGGGGGTCCAAAAAGTATAAATTTTCAAAATCGCCCTGTATCTCATAAACGGAAACAGTTATGTAAAATCTGAATAGGCCATCTTGAGTTTCACAGAAAAGTGCCACACGACCGCGAAACCCGCAAGGTTCTATCTCGAAAGATAACTGAGATATCACACAAAAGCATCGAGAACTGGATACACTGTACAGTACATGGGTGTTGGGGTTCTTGGGAAAGTGAACACGTCTTCTCAATCAACATAAAGACATTAACCGATTTATGGAATGGCTCAGACGTTGTGGTAATAAAAAATTTGCAGCAAGCACTTCGAAAAAGCTGATTTTATATCCAATGGAAGATTGTTGCAGAATTCATTACCCAAGCTTTATTTCCTGAGGCAGGTAGTTTAGAAGGAGGTAGAAATTGTTTCTGTCATCCAAATATTTCATTCACAACATTAAATAGCTTATGATGAAGGCAGAAGTGAAAATAACGAAGGATTAGTTCTGAAGAACCATCATGTTTCCTGCAGGCGTCTGAGTCAATTTCAAGTACCTCAAGAGTACTAGAGCCATTGGAAGAGGAATTGACATCAGACTCCAATTTCAACCTAGTTACTCCCAAACGGGTGTTATCAGTAAGTGAATTCTGAACATTTTGTTTACATCAATGTTTCATCTTATCTCAAAATGAATGATAAAGGTACATTACTGCAAGAGTTGATGATACTCGTTGAAATGACCTCACACTCAAAGCTAAGTATCTATATAGGACAGAATGTGATCTCAAGAAGCAAAAAATGGAGAGTCTTGAGAGAAAAAAGAACGACTGAGATCAGCTGAAAGTTTTTCTGGGTGCATGGAAAATACTTTGTCAACTCTAGACTAAATCCAGCAGAGATTTTTCTTGTCACAAGTTGAAGGAGGACATAAGAAACCTGAAGGACCACGTTTTTTTAAAGAAGATAAACTATTAGCACTGGCCTTATGCAAACGAAGTGGTAGTGCATATAAATATTCATCTTCAGTTTTCACTTTGCCATCACAAAAAACACTCAAACGATTCCTTGATGCAGTACCTGTGAAACCAGGATTTTCATGTATTCTGAATGAATTCGTGACAATTTATCAGTTGTCTTTTATTCTCAATAACCATCGGCCTCGGCCTGCTCAGACTTTCACACCGAGAGAAATGTCTATAAGCTGTTATACGAAACTGAAGAACCTTCAAAAGATTTCTGAATTGAATTGGCGCCAGCATAGATGCCATTTTACTGTAATCAAGTCCATCAATTCGAAAAATTCATATAACTGTGAAACAACACTTACATGAGAATGAGATAACGCTTGTTCAATGGTGAACTGATGAGCATTTCAATATTGAATAGTAATTGTATAAAAATGGAATAATACTCATATTAATATAATATTCTTCCAATTTGATAGTCAAATGATTAGCATGTTAGTATCAAGGTGATCAATTTTCTTCCAGAATGATAAAGTGGGTTGAAGATCGTCGGGAAATATTCAAGACCTATCTACTCAGTACATATACTTGGCCCCAAGTATAGTTTTTTATTGAAACTACAAGGCATTGAAGTGCATCACAAGGGCGAGATATTCAGTACACAATATCTCAATTCGGCTATGATAAAAATGCTTTTCATGTGTAGTATTTGTTCTTCTTGTCACTACCTTGGATTATTAGTTAACACGAATCACGAAATGAAAACGGAAAACCTCCATTTCTTCTGATGAATTGTTGGCTAGAAATCCTGTGAATTTGGAAGCAGCAAACATAATCAAACGAATCAAATAAATACATTTATTATCAAACACCATGTCCAAGATGAGTATACCAAGACATCTTTATCTTGAACATACTGTAAACGTAATACAATCTATCTTCGATATAACTGGGTGAATTCGAGCCTTTGCCACTATAGTGGTTGTGAGGTAGTTCAAAAACACAAAATTTCATCCAAACTGGAAGAATTTCCGATACATTAACGATTTATCGTGAATACACTATAACGTCCTGATGCAGTTCAACTTCCTGTAGTTCCCCAGCAAATCCTATACTTGGGAGGTATGAAGACAAACATGTTTCTGAAATTTCTAAAAAAACTCACTTCATATTTCCGAAAAAAAAAAAAATCTATCAGCCTGTAAGAAGTGTTTACGAGCTGCTGCGGGATAATATGTTCATACATATCAGGTATCCTCAGATGACTAACGATTCAGATGGAAAAAGTAGTGGTCATGAGTGGGTGAGATAACTCATTGTGGTGAACGAGTATGACAAAAATGGTGAATGAAAAAGGGATGAAGCATTAACGATATTCTTGTATAACTGTGAAATGACAACTCTAAGGATTCGAATAACTATCTTTCAAAATCCATCCATCAATAATAATCCTGTTCCATTTCAAATCTATAAGGTCACCTATTCAAAACAAATAGGGTGATTTGGACTAGTTTCACGTTTAAAACGTTGACTTTTCACGTTCCTCATCAGATAACATTTCGTGGTTGAAATGTTCCATCTAGCAGTGATAGGATGTTTTTTGAATAGGGATTTTTATAACTGGATTCTTCTCCATGCAGCCCGCGCAGCTCACTCGGCCCGCGCGACCCTTTTGGCCTGCGCGTTCCATTGAACTTTCCTGAACCTCTCGAGTGGCCTCTTCAACTTGGTTCCACACTGAGAGAATTCATTTTCAGCTGTTAAATTCAATTGCGTAGTCACGGCAAAATATCTGCATGAAATGGGCGCCAAAGCAATTCATTAGCTGGAAGCAAAAGATTGATTCTGCTAATGGAACTATTACTGACTGATTCACCAAACTCGGATACTTTTTTACTGCTGATATATCGTCGAATAGCTGCTGAAGATGAATATATATTTTTCACTCACTTCTCTGGAACACTATAGATAAGTTGGCGATATAGCTCTATTTTATAGATATTTTCATGGACGATGCTCTTCTGAATTATCAACAATTGTACCTCCCTTGACAGTCCCCGCGAAATTAACCCGTCGAGTTGAGGCTTCGCACCCCTTCGTGGTCACTTTGGAGACCTGCAGAACATTTTTTCCAAAGACTCGTTCATCCTACGAACAGCGAGGCTCTGGAACACATTGCCAAAGGAGGTGCTCCCCGAGGCATATAACCTCCAGAAATTCAAGAAGAACACCAACTCTTACCTCATTTCCCTTGGTTTTCACGATGTTCTCTGAACATAACAGTATAACCCTTTTCGTGGACATCAAAACATACAAAAAAAAAAGATGAGTCCATTGTAAAGAATTGATCTGCTATCAGCTTCAGTAGGGATCTTGAAGAAAACCTTCGTTTGAATCAGTTGGAGTTTTACCTATTTATTGAACAATCTATATATAAATTTCAATCAACAATCATGATGGAGAGAAAATATCTGAAAAATATAATTATATATACATAAAATTGAATAATATTTTTTCAAATCATGTCATCACTTCTCCTATACTTATTACGAATTATATTATTTGAATCGCAATTGATAGGCTAAACATCAACTGATTGAAATTGTATGGGTTCCTTCGGAAACAGACCGTTCTTCCGACATTTTTGAACACTGTTTCAGATAGATTGTCTGCATTATGTTATCTTGATGATATCTACACTAAAAAAAAACTTCACATACATTCCCATATTCTGATTTTTGACAACACTCGAATAGCAAGGATAACCACCAATGAGTTTCATCAATAATTTTCCTTTATTTTGGCGTTAGCCTAAACAAATAAAAAATTTCGAGGAATTTGAAAATGACTTCCTCCACAATAATCATTATAAAATATATTATTATAGCAATGTGTATTCGTTGTTTCATCATAGCATAGATGTCGATAGAAATATCCATATCCTACGATTACAACCAATTTGAATCCCACAGCATCAAATCGGAAGTCACAACTTTTATAATCCACTCAGATGTTGACACATGATACACTATACACACTTCAAACTTTGAGAATGTATCGTAGATTCATAGATTATTATCGACGACGAAGAGGTATCCGATTGTAAATCGCCCACCTCGAGTTGGCGTCAACATCCAATAGTCATAAATAATCGCATCAAGCTTTATGTGGCAAAACATGGATAATCAGGTGGAAATTTGTATAGCGCTGGCGCTCTTCGAAAAATCAAATAGGCTACCAATCAGTGCTGTATTGGTCTATATTTACCACAGCAAAGTTGATGAATGAAAATTTGATGACAATCCAAAATAAAATGGACAATCTTTTCAATTTTAATGGGTGCGTTCTTAGTGAAGACAACTTGTTACAGTACATGGGTTCCTATTTGTTCCAAATAGAATTGTCTTATTGAAATAAATCAATGCCAGTGAATTTTCAGCAACAAATATATATCGTGCTAGTCTGAAGAAAAAAAATCACCAGATTGACTCTATGGTGTAATTGTTCGCTAATAATTTCATCAAGGCAAATGATTGTCAATCTAAAATAGCAAAATCTATCGGATCCAATACATATGGTTTAAGCAAAGCACTCGATTTGGTCGAACTTTCTCAGTGTAGGTTTATAGAAAATATCCTCGAACATATTTTGACACATAAAAACAAATCCCACTTTGAATTTTCAAGCAATATCAATGATGTCCTATTTTTGGAGTTTGATTAAGCTGTAAAATCTCTGAGATCGATTCTATTGAATGCTATTCTTTAGAAATCAACAAAATCGATCTTACTTTCTCCTAATCAATTGATAATTCGAAAAGTACTGAGATAATCTATGAACGTAGCACGACCCACGTCAATCACTGATGGGCGTGCGTATTTCGCACCACCCACGTAACTTGCACGGCCTGCGTAACTCGCACGGCCTGTGTAACTCGCACTGCTTTTGTAACTCGCATGGCCTAACCCGAATCGGCCTGTCCTACATTTTTTTATGAATTGGCTCGTCATGTCCAATACGTCACATACTCCAGGGCCGGGCCTATAGGTACGCACGGATTGGCTTCGGCCGGTCTGTGCAGAGCTCTGAAGAATACTCAGACGTGTATCACAATGAGGAGAGACAATATTATTTCGACCCTGTAACTTTTAGAAGTTATATTACAGAGGTAGTGAGCACTGCTTCACGAAAACGTAGGGTTTATTTCCAGGAACAGTAAACAATTCTCTCCTGAAACACTCAGTTCACTTTATTGTCATTCAATTGAAACTCCACTTGTATAGGACATTTTTAAAACAAATACATATTGCTAGTTGAGAGCGAGTTCATATGAGGTTCTTAAGAACATATTCATATGGCAAGGGTTGCTTATATGTATATAAACCCAGAAACATTGATGTAACTCCTCCGAACTGTGAAATAGCGTAGATAAGTGTCGAACCCAGATAGCACAATGTCATTCATAGAACGTGGAGAGAATATTCTTCGAGAATATTTCAATATTCCCAGAATATTCTCACAATTTGGTACACATACTCTAGGGATGTTTCATAAACATTCGGATTGAACTGTTCAGAATATTCTGAGAATATTCCTACTATATTGAAGGAGAATGAAGAACCTGAAGCTTTGACCACTTCGCCACGAACCTTATTGATAAATAAAATGAATAGCAAGATGACAACACTGAATTAGTGGGATAATCAGCATTGAGGCTAGAGAAAAATTGGTTATGTCAGGGTAAACATTATCAATATTGATACAAGACTATAAGAATATCGATATCAATTATTTTGATACGATTCTGAATATTCTCAGAATATTCGAGAGGAATATTCTCAGAACATTGGAAGAAGATATTCTGAGAATATGTCGGATTAAGTGTTCATAGAATAGTCGCTGGAGGATGACAATATTTTATGATCATTATCTGAGAACAATCTATAATAATATTCTGAAATAAGTATATTTGAACATTGTCAGAATATTCATAGAATATTTTGTGCTGTCTGTGAATATGTGATTGCTATATAAATTGATCAATGGCCCCATTGATTCTCCAAATCTACTTACTTCACTTAGATTCGATACGTCGACCAGAAAAAGAGATTATCCTGTATCTTTCTTGAATTTTTACTCAACGTATTATGGAAACGATCATAACCCTACGTATGGCGAAATATATTTTCTTGTGTCATAACTATAATTTTGAACAAAGTCGCCAACGAAACGATCCTTGGCAAGATAAATAGCTGTTAGTTTTCATAAAAAAATCTCCTTATTGAATGAGCATCTGATTGTTGTTCTCATGGGTATCAAGAACAGTATGTCATTTCGAAGCTAGAGTAAGTTTCGACAAGGGTCACTGGAGAATATACTTGGAAAATTTGAGAAGATGTTTTATGAAACTCACCTCGACTTTTTGGATGTAGTACAGTCGGTATAATCTGAATGGATCGGGAATCATTATTAACTTTTTCTCCTATTTGTCCAGTTCTAGCACAATCTGCTAAAAACCCTCCAAAGAAGAACTGAACATCTGGATGGTCTTCATGTGGATCTTGATATTTTGTATTGACAAAGCCAGTCACTTCAGAAATACCTGAAATTAATGTGTTGAGAAGAAGTGTTCAATGTAATATTGAAGTTTGAGTTTTGCATTGTTCACAAGTAAGTTACTAACAAACCATTAATATGTTGGTTGATGATTCAGCTATTCAGGAGGGTTCGTTACATACATGGGATTTAAAGTGATAATATTTGCTTTTTCAATGATCCTCCTGTATAATTTCTCATGGTGCCAAAATTCAGTCTGGTTGGAAAATGACAAAGTCTCTGGATTTTTAAATGATCCCAATTGCTGCCGTGAAGCAATCTCGATGAATGTCTTGAGAGCAGCTTCAGTTTTGAGTAAAATCGAATCTAATAAGCAAATAGTGTCTTCGAAAACTAAGCGAGATACAAATGTAGCACAGGAGATCAGAAGATTGTATTTTCAATTGTTCAAACTGATGAAAATATGAAACTCGAAAAACCAGTGGCGTAGAATGTCATTCAGAATAAATATCGATGAGGTAACGCATTGCGACTGATTCACTGAAATTATTATTTTGAGTGGGATTACATCAAGAACCTCCATATTATTGTGAACCAATCATCTTACCCTATCAGAATTCGATCAATATAAAAAAAGTTATCATAAGAAAACGATATGACAAGAAATCAATCTCTGAATTTTAAGGCACGTATTCACACGCAGTTCACACTGTATTCCATGAATTTTGAGATTGGAATTAAGTACTCTTATGTTCAACATATTGATATCCTGAAATCGAAGAACTATTTCATGGTTGATAGGACGGTTTTGGTTCAATGAATATCGTGGTGAAGAAGATCAAATTATCTGGAACTAGAGATGAGGAATCTTCAGCTATGTGAATATATTCCTCATGCAACTTTCCATTATTCTAGCTAAAGTGACAGAAACCTATGACAATGTATTTATATGTGGTGACTTCAACATTGACAGTTTGACAAAAACAATAAATACCATGATGTTATATGACATGTTCGAATCGTATGGACTTATCTCTCTGTTTAATGAACCTACAAGAATTGGACATCTGGGTAGTCGTGAAACTATTAGTAGTATAGATTATACCAACCAACATCAGTAGAGATAGCTTAATTCTTAATAATTTTGATCCGGGGTTATCTGATCATCATATGCAAACAGTTATCTGGGAAAATCGAAGTAATATCACACGAATCAAAGAAACTCAAGTATCAAATAAAATCAGGAAGATAAATGATCTCTCGATAGCTGAATTCAAGCGATTTTTCATCAGTGACATCGACTTTGTAAATAATTTTAGTAAAATCACCTTCAAAAATATTAATGAAGCTGTCGGAACTTTTTGGGAACATTTTCATTGGTGTTTTGAGGCAGCATTTCCAAAATCTTTTAAACAGAATGGTCTCGGAAATCGAAATCAAAATAAAATCGTTTTATCTGCCTCGCTTAGAGAAAAAATTAATGACCTGAAACATCTTAATCATCTGAAAAAGTTGAATATCGTTGAAAACGGTAATGCTGCTTATAAACAAGCCAAGAAAACTGTTGAAAATGAAATACGAAAAGAAAAAGTTGACTATTTTATGAAAACAATTCATGAATCTAGTAACAAAAATAAAACACTGTGGAATATAGTTAAGCAACCGAGGAGATCTGACGTAGGCAAACAAATAACTTTAAATTTAGAACAGAAAACTATCACTGATGAAACAGAAGTTGCCGAAACATTTGGAGAATACTTTTCAACCATAGTTGAGAAGAAGATGAAAACGCATTTTGTTGAAAATGACATGGTTTCGTGTACATCAGTACCAAATGTAAATTCAACTTTATTTTTTGAACCGGTTACACTAGATGAAGTGGAAAAAGTTATAATCTCATTACCCAATAAAAAAAGTTCAGGATATGATGAAGTATCCACAAAATTAATTAAAGAATGTGTTGATATACTGACTGGCCCAATAGCGCATATAATGAACTTATGTATAACGTTTGGGGAATATCCTGATATATTTAAAATTGCTGTCATAATCCCTATTCTGAAGAATGGCGACATTAAAAATATTGAGAACTATCGTCCCATATCAATTATAAGTATTTTCTCAAAGATTCTTGAAAAATTAATCTCTTCTCGCATCAACAGTTACTTGGAAAAATTCAAATTGTTAACAGAATGCCAGCACGGATTCAGACGAGAGCATTCGACAGAAACTGCAACGCTTGAATTCACACAACATATACACAACTTGGTCGATGAAGGAAATATAGTAATTGGAATTTTCTTTGATTTGAGCAAGGCTTTCGACACTATAAATATAAATTTCATATCAGAAAAGCTATATAAGTTAGGTATTCGAGGTAATATTAATCAGCTACTTGGGTCATTCCTGTCCAATAGATGTTTTCGTGTAAAGCAAAATAACACAATGTCGGAGACATATTTTACAACAACAGGGACCCCACAAGGTAGCGTACTTGGGCCTCTGTTATTCTTACTATATGTTAATGACCTCCCTAATGAAATGAGCAACGGAAAAATATTCTTATATGCGGACGACACTTCTATCATATTATCGAGCAAAACTTCTGAAGATATGTATCATCTGGTTAATGAAACATTAGATGAATTAAGTAATTGGTGTTATAAGAATAGGCTGATTGCAAACTTGAAAAAAACAGTCTGTATGGAATTCTCATATTCATCTCGAACTTTACATGATTTTGAATTCAGTTTCCATAATGAATCCCTAAAGCTATCTGATTCAACTAAATTCTTGGGAACAATGATCGATCCACTGTTTACATGGCATGATCACATAGAGTTTACCTGTAAAAAATTGAATCAATCATATTACTTGATTAAATCGCTGAAAAGTAAGTTGGATACAAAATCATTGATATCAGTGTATTATGCCAAATTTCACTCCATTATCAAGTACAACATTATCATTTGGGGACTATCTACAAGGATAGATCGAATTTTCATAAAGCAGAAAGCTTTGTTGAGGTTAATTTTTAATCTAGATTATCGATCTTCATGTAAAGATATTTTCCGACGAAATAAAATACTAACTGTAACAAGTATATACATTATGCAACTATTAACAGTTATACATGGAAAGAAAGGCGAATTAAAAACGAGAACGGAAATTCACACCCATAATACAAGAAGTAGAAATATGATCACTACTCATAAACACCATCACTCAAAATATGAAAATCCCCTATGTTCGCCGGTGTTCGTCTCTACAACATGTTACCAACTGAAATGAAAGTACTGAAACCTCAAAATTTCAAGAGGAAATTGAAAATATTTTTAGCCGACAATGGTTTTTATACTGTTGATGAATTTAAACTAGCTGTCGGTACTATTTGACTATAATTTTATAAATAATATGAAGTTTTACATGTTAATTTATTTTTTTTCTCTTTTACTTGAAGATGGAACATTAACAAATGTGTTCCATATAAGAATATGTATCACATATACTTTTAATCTAGTATTATGTATTTTATATTTATTTATTTATTTTTTTAAATTGTAGTTTTGTACCCTTTACCATCATGTGTGACTTATCCTATCTATACATGTTGTAGCACAAAGGATTAATAAACTCAATCTATCTATCTATCTATCTATGGCGTTGAATATATCGAAGGCAATCGACCGTGTTTGGCATCAAGGACTCCTCCACAAACTACCGTCATCCATACGACTCACCACTTCAGCATCAAAAACCTCAAAAATACCTTCTTTCATCGAGTTTCCGGATTTAGACAGATCGCTCCATGTGGTGGTGGACAACGAGTATCGTCTGATACTTCGATCATACAACAGGCTAGATGAGTACCTAATTCATAGCCCTGGCAATACAGTTGGTTTGGAATCATCATCATCAGTGTTCATTTCATGCTAAACAGGGATATCAACAGCTGATTCTCCCAGCAACAGTGGCGCACGGTGAAAAGTGCTTGATAGTATTATAAATTCGTGACCCAGTTTTGAGTAGCTAATTGAATATTCTCGACTGTCTTTCAGTGATCCATTCGCATGCTTTCATTGGTAATTTTTTGAAAACTATATTCATCAAATGTATTTTGTATTTCTGTAATAATTATCAACTTCACTTGTCACAATATGACGTTCTCGTTGAGTAAGCCAATATCGATAATGCTGGATTTTATCCAATCATTTGGTATCATACTAATAATTTCTTAGTAGTGAATTGAAGCGATAATTTTTTCACGTTTGAATTTCCTTTCAGAAAAAGACTCATAGACTGCGTGGTTGTAAGGCTATTTCGTTCGACAAACAAGTGTGATCGAACAAAAATGACAGATTATTCACCTCATGATAAAGCCTTACATTCAAATAATATATCACTGATATCGAAATGATTGCAATATATCCTAGATTGTTTGAAAACGTCTTCAATTTTTAGAAGTTTTTTTTTTTATTTTCATCAATGCTGCATCTTGAAGAGGCTGAGATATTCCTCAAATCACCATTAGACATTGAATATTGCAGACAACTTATATAATCTTGATTTATTGGGAAACTATCACTAACATCTCTATTAGGTGCAAACCATATCAAGATCTCGTATGATATGACACTGATGACTGCTTACCTATGGAATTACGTATTTTGATCATTTGGTTTAAGCGGAAACAATGCGAAATATTCATCGCTGTCGACTGTCAGATACCAAGGAGACGTCTTGCAACATATTGTCGAATATTCAAAATTCCTATATAGACAAACTAAAGCACTCGACAAGATGACCAGGATATTTATGAATCACTATGAATTGTTTCTTCTGAATTGTGATTATATCTGATCCGACTATTGAATGAATGCATGTGTTGAACTAGATTCCTAAACAGATATAAAAAATGCAGATGACGTGACGTTGACTTGACTTTTAATCTGGGCCGCTTAACAACACTGGCCGCGATTGGGAACTGATATTATAATTGTTGTGCGAATTCATGTTAGCATCAGAATATTCATTACGTTATCCTTCTAGGGGGTTTGTTGTTCGAAGGTCAGATACCATTGGTATCAATTCCGGCGTTTCACAAGAAACGATTCTGGCATCAATATTGTTCCGACTCCATATCAATGATCTGTTGGAAACAACGATGTTCCCAATCCACAACTTTGTAGATGATAGTACTTTCCATACTGCGTTCGCTTTCAGTATTGTCATTTACATAGGTAGGTTATCGCTGTCAGTTAAGATCTTTCTGAAATTACATCCTGGGGACCAAAAACCTAGTCGAAATCAACGCCACTGAAGCTCAAGCCTGTATTCCCTCTAGAAAAAAAAACTCAGTTTGCCTGATATAATAATGTCTGGTACCACCATTTCCACAAAGTCAACTGAATCTATGCTTGGTATTTCCATCAGCAATACTCTCTCATAGAAAAATCATGTTCGATCCATCGCAGAAGCTATACTTCACAAAAACTCGGATATATATTCATTGGATTCATATGATAGAAACGCATTTGAATAACATAGTATTCAAACCACCGATGTTGAACAAACTCAATAGTTGTATCAATGAAAATCTGAATGACCAAATTGATCGCATGACACCTGATGAACAAGATACAAACACACACACAATCAATACAAGCATACATGCTAATTTGATAAAAAGCGTATTCAAATTCGAATTGCGAAATCAAAATAGTGATCCATGACATATGTGTATATCAAGCTTGCTCGTCAATGGATGCCCTTGCCTCATGTCCTCTCAGCTCATCCCACCAGTTACGTTTCATCCATAATGATATTTCTCGAAATATCGAATGTGTTCTTTTTCTATCATCTAGCTTGATCACAATAAATCATACGAAGACAAGTTTTTCCGCTGCAAGTAGTTCTCCGTCCCGATATTTCAAGCACTGAAGTGCCCGACATATGATCTTCTTTTCATCTCAAAAGATTCTCATGATCCACAAAGTTCACAGATATATACTCTCAGATTCCATACAGAGAAGAGCCATTCGCCTGGTAGGTGATGCCACACTCACTAATCCTATGACCTCATCAGTACTCCGTAGAGAATTCGATGACCTCTCACTTTCCCATAGATACTTTCACAGGAAATGTTCTTCAGACATCTCTACTATCATTGCATCACTAGCAATACCAGTCAGACGAACTGTACAAGCTCATTCAGCACATTTTTTCGTTGTCCACACTGGAATATGTCGAACAACAGCCTACCGAAACTCGTTCGTCTTCAAAACGGTTGAGTTTTGGGATTTTTTGCAAACGGAAGTATTCCCAAGAACTTATAACCTCCAGAAATTCAAGAAATAGTCCAATTACTTTCTCCATCACCTATCTTTCCTAGGCACGCACGATGATCTTCGTACATCATAGGAATCACCTGTCGTGCGCTGCAAGAGATGAAAAAAGTCCCAAGGATATGTTTTGAATTATCGAACCGATTATATCTCTGAATCTAGTGACAATGTCCTGAAGTGTATGCAGTGTATTCTATGTCATAGTCACAGAGGGGAGGAATTCAGTTCACTCACCTGTTCCACTCATCAATCCATCTCTGTATAATAAATATTCAACAGCTGTCGCCCAATTCAGCGTGGCAGTGTTCGAATCATTTATGTGGAAATTGATGAAGAACGCCACGTGATTTTGTAGGTTCTTTCCAACTCCTGGTAAATTATGTACGACTGGAACGTTGACTTTTCGTAGTTCTTCTTCAGGTCCCACTCCAGAAAGTAACAATAATTGGGGTGTGTTGACAGCACCTGGAGAAAAATAAGAACATCATACTTGTGTGAGGTATGCCATGTTATACCGATTGACATAATATAATAAATGAGTTATAAAATATATATATATATATATTTGATCTTTCTTTTATTTTATTGAGACCAGGGAAGAGTCCCTCTTATCCTGATATCTATTATGAAACAAAATGAAAACGATATTGAAGTTTGATGCGAACAGCCCTTCTGCCCCAAATGAGTTTCAGAAATACATTCTGAGAATTGAAAGAGATCGAACGGAATAAATAAATATCAAAAACTTGAGAATGATAAATTTCGTCATGATGTCGATATTTTCTCTAGTTTATAGACAATCTCGGTCTTTTGAACTCTGATTGATCACCTGGGTCATAATCGACTGCATTTCTAAGAAGCTGATTCTCATGAACCTCCGCTTTTTCGAAAGTCTTGATGTTTTGTTCTTTAATGACTGACACGATGGAAGGAAGTTTCAGATCCCTGGCGATCTGGTTATTCCGAACATACCAAGGAGATCCTATCACCATTCTCGCGATTTCAATTTGAAATGTTTGTAATCTGGTGATATGAGATTTAGCTGTGTGGCCCCAGACTACTGAGGCATACAGTAAAATTGGCCTGATAGCCATGATATAAATATTAATTTTTGTCTCAAACCCAATTTACTTCGTCTGTTCAGAAATGGATACAGGGCTCCAATGGCTCGTTTAGCTTTAGAAACTTGCTGTTCAATGTGCTGGGCCCAGGTGAGCTTTTTGTCAATGCACACACCTAAGTATTTAACGTGTGGAGACCACTCTAACTCATGACCATCCAGGACTATTCTGGTTCTGGGAGGCCCCCGCTCCCTTCCGAGTGCAACCAATTGTGTATTTGTAGGATTCAATTTGATCTTCCATCTTAGGAAGTACTCCTGAAAAAAATTCAGTGCGCTTTGTAGGTTCATAGCTGCTTGCTCGAAATTGGTCGAATATGCAAGAACTGCCGTATCATCAGCAAAAAGCGACATCTTGCACATCACTGGTCTTGGCAAATCGCTAGTATATGAACTGTACAACAGCGGAGATTAAACTGCACCCTGAGGAACACCAGCTTCAATGGGCTTGATACCAGATCGTTGATCATCAAGTTTCACTTGGAAAGTTCGATTTTTCAGAAATGAACACATCAACTGGATAAAATTGTCAGGAGAGCCCATATCGATCATTTTATATAAGATACCATCATGCCACACCTTGTCAAATGCTTTCGTTATGTCAAGGAGAGCAAGATGGGTCTCTTGTCTATCATTTCTAATGACATTGTGTTCTCAATGAGTCTCAAGACTTGTAGTTCAGTTGAGTGGCCAGTTCTGAAACTGAACTGCTCATCTGGTATAAGCTCGTCGTCGTCGATAAATTCCTGTAACCTCTGTTTAATCACTCGCTCAGTTATCTTAGAAGCAGATCACAGGAGACTGATAGGACGATAGCTCTGCGGAAGAGCATTATCCTGGCCTTGCTTCTTAGGCATCATTACTTCGGTATGCTTCCATATTTGAGGGAAATATAATAGTTTCAATATGTTGTTACTGATTTTACGTAAGTAAGTGATGAAATTACCAGGAATCCTCTTCAATATTCTGTTTGTTATTCCATCATTACCTGGAGCTTTCCTGAGTTTTTGTGCTTTGATGTAGCCGATTTTTCCATCCGTAGAGGCGGGCCTTATCCTTAAATCGTGAACATCATTATTCAAATGGGTCAAGACTACTCGCTCCACAGAACCATCCCATTCCTGATCATACTCCTGCGACTCATTCAACTTGAATTGTGATACAAGTGACTCAGCAAAGACCCAGCTTTTTTGGCAGTGCTGTACTTGACTCCGTTCTCTCCTCTTAGAGGAGGTATGACGGTTTTCTTATTCTTAACTCTTTTGATCAACTTTCAAAGATCGTCAGGACCTTCATCCGATTTTTCCAGTATGGTCTGCAATCTTGAGTATTGAAAATAATCAATCTCAGTTCCCACGATATTACGAGCTTCGTTATAATCCAATTTATGAGGACGATAGAGAGTTCTCATGGCTCTTCGTTTCAATCTGTTTCTTTCTCTCATGAGATTCTTCAAGTAAATTGGGAATTTATCAACTTGAAAACTGGTGATATTTGTTATCTGGGTGTTATTATTCAAAGCTGTGAGAACTTTCTGTTCAAAGTCAATCACAGCGCTGTCAGTTTTTCGAGGAGTGTCGAGTTCCTCAGGGGGGACTTCAACATCTTCCAAATCTCGCATGAAGTCTATCCAGAAGACCTTCCTGCGTTGAAAGATTTCATCTCTTGAAACGTTTTTGACAGCAGGGAAGCAATAGAAAAACAGACTCTCAGGGGATATTCTTCCTTCTTGGAATAACAGATACATTTTCAATCACTGAAAAATATATAGGAAGCAGCAAACAGTATATAGATTTCAAATAGAACACTTTATATATTTCCTCTTCAATTAGTTCGTGAAGCGTACCTAATTATTGGAGGAAATCTCAATTGGAACATCTATTTGACGTTATTGGGAGACATTGACCCTAGGATGACAGACATTTTCAAAAGTGACGACAAGTCAAAAGAAAATGAAATTATTTTCAAACATGACGGTGTACTCTCTCATTATGTCGTTGCTGTGCGGCTATTTTTTGATGATCATTTTCTGAGTCATCGAATTGGTAAAAGAGTTTCCATCAAATGGCCACCATGCTCACTTGATCATACTCCTCTGGAGTTTTTGATGATATCATTTGAAATCGCGAGTGTACGTCACGAAACCTGAAACACTAGACGTGCTACGTCAGAGAATTATGAAAGGATGCCAATTTCAATAATAACACCAGATCTTCTGGAATGTTAGAATATAATTTGAAAACAGATTGAATCATCGTTTGCAAGTTGAAGTTATTTCGATCTATTCAGTAACTTCCGTTTTCCTTCAGCTTTTTCTAGACTTTTCCGTCCTTCCGAAGGGACATTGAGCCGGTGTTGCTGAGGCCATAAATGTTGGACAAGTCAAAGATCCCTACCTCTGGCCGGAACACGAGAGGATTCAACAAAATTTACGGTTTAGGGTCAGAGCAGGTTGGTTTACAAGTGAGTGGGTCTATTTGGCCCTCTACTGTGACCCGCAAGGGTCTATTGTGTCTTGCTTATGAATTTATACTGCAACAAGTAGATCCAGCTTCTTAACGATGCCGATTAGTTACTTGGTGAGATACCTTTCAGGTCCGAGGGTGATAGTGGAACCCCGCCAAACAGCAAGAACCTGATTCGAGCCGCGGCGGGGCAGGCACGAAGTTCCATTATCTTCAATGCAGAGGCGGCACGATTTGATCATCTGACAACACAAATCATGACATGTGATAATTCAGACGACAGTGGTATGTTAGGAGGCCTATTAGAGAGAGTAGCTCATCCCTGCTGTATTCTTACTTTTGTTTGGTAACTTTCTTCGAAGAATGTATGAGTGCTTTGAAATGAGCCAATCCTGATAGATCCTGCTAGAAGTCTGATACTCTTCTTGCAGTCCAGGAATTCATTTTATGTTTGGCGAAAATTGGTGAGGAGATGCCAATAGTAGGTTCTGGTCCAATGAAACTACTTGCGATACCCCCCCTAGCAAGGAAATCTGTTGTTTTATTACCTGCCATACCAGAGTGGCCAAGATTCCAAACCAGAAATTCATTGAGTCTTCCAACCGCGAAAGGTCTTTAATGGCAGTTCCATACCAGTCTAGGAGTTGATCAGTTTTAGCAGAGATTCTTGAGAGCCGCTTGGCTATCCGAGAATATTTCAATTGTTTCATGTCGTGTGAAATTAGTTTCCTTCAATCTCCTCACACACACATCGATGGCGTGCAATCTTGCCTGAAATACTGAAGATATCTCTGTCCTAGGTCTGCGACCGTTTACACCCGCATCAGAGCCTGTGGGTATTATCGAAGAATGTGTGAAAAAACAGTTATCTGCTCTCAGTAGTTCCTTCTTCTAGAGGAAATAGTCATCTCTATCCAGGCTCAGGGCAGTGTAAGGAAATCCATAGGTAACTTTTGGAGTCATGATATCGGTGGTCATACACAGAATGCTGTGACTTCTAATCGCGAAGGGTCTTTAATGGCAGTTCAAAACCAGTCTAGATGTTGATCGGTTCGAGCTGAGTTTTCTCAGAGCCACTTGGCTATTTGAGAATATTTCAATTAGTTTATGTGTGAGGTTGGTTTCGTTCAATTTTTTCACATACACATCAATGGCGAACATTCTCGCCTGAAAAACGGTCTTGAAGGACCCAAGACAGGTTGATATATCTGTTCTAGGTCTGCGACCGTGTACACCCACACCAGAGCCTGTGCGTATTTTCGAAACATGTGTGAACCACCAGTTATCTGCTCTCAGTAGTTCCTCGTTTCAGAGGCCATAGGTAACTCTTGAAGGCATGATGTCGGTGGTTATTCCCAGAATGCTGTGGCTTTCTGACGTGTCCGCCAATAGTCTGGTACGCTCCGTGTTAACCTGATTCGTCGTTATAGCAGTGATTATACTTATCAGCTTGGTACTACTGAACTTATCAGAATTTCAGCCCCCCAAGTTATTATGTTACTATATACAAAATTATGAAATGAGCTGCAGAGTTGCTTGATTCAACATATACCTAAATCTCATGTGACCAGATGTGGCAACTACAGTGAAATGTGAAAATGGAATCTGACAAACTATTTTGGACTCGAAATATTATCCCTTGACAGGTATTTAGGCAGTGGACCGTCCTTTGACTACTTTGATTTCCTAGAGAGTTTCGATTATACAAATAGAATTCGCGATAATGCGATGGTACATTTCAATATCTGAATAGGTTATCAAAAAGGACCCTGTCAGATCTCATCATTTTGGCAAAAATTTTCCAGAATCTTGCGAAAATGACACAGTCGTTATGTTATATCAGTTTCCAGTTGAGTGAAGTCATCTTCATTTTTGATTGAGGACTAACTGGAGGTTCCATATTGAGCAGGAGATCTAGCGATGACCTCCAACTGATATAGTCTAGGGTGGATAGTTGATCATTGTCATTGTTTCACTACCAGATAATTTTTCTACAAGTTACCATCATTATGATGCGAATGTTCTGGATAATTCAACCGTATGTCACAGATTCAGACCAGAGGAAGTCTACACAAGAGATCGAACCAAGGAGATATTATAGTTGATATCGTGGGTAGGTAACTATTGTGAAATGATTCCTCCCATCAATTCTTCCTCATTATTCTCTAGTTATGCAGAATCTATATAGTTCTCGAGAAGAAGATGAGATTTCAAGCATGATACCTACCCAGACAGCTTACGACGTCCCGAGGACGTACATATTATGTCCTCAGAACGTACCATCCCGTACTTCTCGGGACTAACAGAGCGTCTATTTCTAGTCTTGGATACTTCAATATCCATTATTCACTTTGAATTCATTATATTTTTGAATAATAATGAAACATTGCCAAATGTGATTGAATGAAGTAGATTAGGCTCCTTTGGTGTTAGCTGCCGATCATATCCCGATTCATTTGATAATAGGTCACAATGAATCAAAAGTGATTCTTTGTGACTGATGTGGAGAAATTGGAGTGAATCTGGCAAAGTTGGCATATTATTATCCTGAATAATATATATACAATCTGAATAAATGTGATAAGCTCACAGTCATTTCCACCTAGTGTTCATAAAATGAACAACAATGGTAGATTTCGGGAGAAAAACAACTACTTTCCTGGCTAATGCCACGCAGGATATTGAATTACATCCTTTCGAAATCTATGCCTCGACTCGTTTAAACGAATACTGATACCAGCCAGGCTGCTAGACAACCACAGACCGGTTTCGAGATCTTTGACTCTTATCAGTGCAGTGTATATAGTCTCCAGCCAGCAGTCCTAAGACCGCCGACTTAGCGAAGCCTAATAGCCAAACAGAAATCAAGTTGGCATTATATCCACCCCGAGGCGTTTTTCATCAACAAAATGAAAGTAACGCCATCTGAGTAGAACCATATACATACAATCTCTGTAGGAAGCTGAGTTCGGAGGATATAAATATGGATTTATATGCACATACAACGTCCTGTTCTATTCTCGACCAATCAGAACATTCAGTCTGATTCATAGCGAATTCCATTCGGTGGAGTGTGCACTCAATGTATATCATGTTTTCTTCCCACTTGCATTTTTTCTATTTTGTATTCGAAATTAGATTTTTCTTTACTATATATAGATTTCTTTCCCATCTATATGAGTAAGAAGAGGCAAATCTCAGTTGATTATGGTGTTCATGGTGATGGAATACCAAACTTGGGCCTGATACGAACGTCCCTGAAACGTTCTATCTTGTAACATCGGACGTCTCCAACACGTTTCATGGATGTCTTTCGACCGACACTTCACGTCATCAGGACGTCTTGTACGTCCCAGATGTACTCCCTCTGGACGTACACAGGACGTCTTCATGTTATCTGGTGAATGATCTGTATAACGATTGGATGAAGGGTTTTAGATAACGCTGCTTATACTATGTGCTCTGAGATACATTTTATATCGAAGTCAAGCCGTAACATAGTCCCTAGGTTGATAATTCACCATAACAATACCCTTTCCATATTTACCTCCAGAAATAATCACTTCTTTGCTAGCATAGAACAGCATTTTTCCTTCCGGGGATAAAACTTCGACCCCATAAGCTTGTTTCGTTGTAGGATTTATGAGCACTTTGGTGACCGTCGTATTGAGCAGGACGTGAAGATTCTTCCTTTTGTTGAACGGTCTCAAGAAGGCTCTGGCAGAGCTATGCCTGGATCCATTCTTGTTGGTGCTTTGAGCTATAGCAAAACCCGTGTGGTACCTGCCGTTTACGTCTATGATTGGAAAACCTGAAATGGAACCGATATAATCATCAAACATGCGGAAAATTAAGTCGGAATTGGTCTGTGTATAGTACTCATTGCAAAATTGTTCGAGATGTTCATCATGAAGTGAAAAATGTATTTCACACAACTGTGGTTGCTCAAGATATGAGGAGAATTTTTCTGGTCTGGAGAATATGAGGGTTTGGAAAACACAGGAGTAAATCAACATGCCCCGAGGCTCATAGAACAGGGTGTCCCAAAATAACATAGGAGAATGTCGACGACTGATATCAGGAACAAAAATAGTAAAAATAGGTCATATGGACATGGGACAAAACATGACCCACTGGGAAGTTATAGCCATCTGAAAGAGGGCCCGATAACAGTTTTTTTTATATTTCCGAAATTCTCTGTGTTGAGATAATGAAAATTTGTACATGTATATTGATTTCAATGACTTATTTGTAAATGTTAGTAATCATCCGAAATTTTGATCAGGGGCGTGAAAAATAGGGTCATTCCTTTCCTCAATTTTTTTCTGTCATTTTCGGCAGTTCGACCAGGAGATATAACAATATCATAAATTTGACAAAGAAATAATACTCTTGTTCAGCTTTGATGGCACTCATCATTTCCGAGATCAATCGATTTCAAAAGTCTGCTGCGTAATAAAATGAGTGCTTTTTCTTTATAGGTTACCCACCATAATAATTTTCAAAATATTTTCTTCATTGTCCTTCTTCTGAGTCAAACATCACGAGTCGATGTTTGAAAAAGGGCATTTTGATCGAAAAATACTTTTTGGGAAAAATTGATACCCTATTATAAGGCAAAAGTACAATTTTCGATACACAGTAGACTTTTTGAATATATATATCTCGAAAATGATGAGTGCTATTGAAACTGAACAACTGTATCATTTTTGAGTAAAGATTATGTTATTTCCATTTTCCCTGGTAGAAATGTCGGAAATTGCATAATGAGAGTTTGGGGAGAAATGCCCCTAGTCTCACCTATTTCCCACGCTCATAATCTGAATTTCGACAAATTCTTAACATTCTCAGAATGAGAAATAATATACATATACGAAATTATTTTCCCCATCACAAAGAGTTTCGGGAATATTAGAAAATAAACATTACTTCCGAGGGCACAGGATACTCAATTGTTGAGTATTCTGTGCCCAGGGGTCATTTCTGAGCTCATGTTCATGTAAACTTTTCTTACTATGTATTTCTGTTCCTAGAATCTGTGATTGGAATCTGTCTTCGTAATTTCAGGACACCCTGTATATTCAGGACGAACATTGTTTTCTCAATAACGATTCGAAGCGCATGAAAGGGCATTATTACAGAAACATCGTGCGTACCTAGAGTGAGGATAGGGAGAGATGGAAGAATGGAAGGATTTCTTCAAATTGCTAGAGGGTATAAGTTTCTGAAAATACTTTCCTAGGCGAACAATTTCAAAGCACTGCAGTAACCTGATTGAACAAGTTTTGATAAAGAATTGTTCGACATAACTCAAAGTTGAAGAAAGAACGATGTCCTTATTGAGCTTGTCGAGTTGTCTGACGGGTCTCAACATTTTACGTGAAAATATGTATAGAAAAGTGGCATCGACGTTACTAGTGCGTTTCAATAATGTTAGGGAATCAGTGAAGATGCCATCAATGAGTGAGCGAATGACACGTATCTGGATGAGATCTAAGAGAATCGCCGTATGTTTGGGTGCATGAGAAGATGTTGAGATGTGAAGTAGATTTTTGCTTGGAATAAAAATCCAAGTTTTCGTGAAGCAGCTTTCGCGATGGAATTGAGATTTAGTGGATTTTGTGGGAATGGTGAAACCAGTCATTGCTATATCAGCAATGCCAAACTGACCTCCACTTTTCTAGAGGAGATACAGAAACTTAAGTTTTGGTGGCGGTTAATTCAACTAGGTTGTTATTGGTTCCTCAGACTGTACTCTCAACAGCAGCTGTGATTTTTCTCATGAATTTCGAGAAAACTATGGAGTAGGAACATTCTTGGTGCCGAAATGGATCCTTGTTGATCGCCGAAATTGATGGTTATGGTATAAGACGATTTTTTTTCCACCACCACATAAAGCGATTTGATAGAAGGAGGCATAGATGAGGTGGTGAGTCAAATATATGTTTGTGAAGAGTTCCTTGTTGCGAAATTCTGTCGAATGTTTCCAATATATCTTATGTCACAGCTTTAGATTCCTTATGTTTCACTGCAGATCTCCGATGGTGAAAGCCATATTGTCGATAATTCATTAATCCTGAGCTTTACTGATGTTGATGGGTTCCTCCATCATTTTAGAAATAACTTATGACGACGACATAGGCCGATAGGTGCTCGCCAGGTTCTTCGACCTTCTTCGCATTGCATTAGAATATAGGTACCTCCAAGCCCCATGAAATAGCACCCCACATGGATCAATGCATTCCATAGGTGCAGAGAACGAAAGCTACCAGACCAGTCTAAAAGACAAGGATATGACTAATAACTCTCGGCATTATTCATAGTCGCTAGGAAAATGTCATGGAACCTGCAGTAGCAGCAAAGGGAGATGAGGGAGGGAGAGTTCAATATTTGAGATTAGGTGCTAGGTGCTAGGTTAGGATGTTATTTTCATTGATGGTTTCATATATAACTATTTCAGAGATTTATGGAAAACACTGTTCATTTCTGAAGAATCCATCACTCTGTATTTCGAAAACTACAAGTCTTTGGAGGAAGGTTCAGAATCGTTGTTTTGTTTTTTTGAATGGAAATCTGCCATTGAATCTTTCCCTAACATCAATGATATTCTTGTAGAAGTGTTCTCGAGTCTAATGGTATACTAACAATATATGCATTATATATTTATATGAAACGTTAATGTTTATACATGAAGTGAATTCGGGAAACAGAAAGTAACAAAAAGAGTTAGTATGAGATTATGTAATATCAATATTCCGAGTGATAGATTGACAATAACAAAAAAAAGTCCATGATACATGGCAATAAAACTTCTAAATGAACTCGTACGCCATATGGATCCGCCATCTTGAATTTCAACATTTCGACAAAAGAATCATTATCTTCGACCTCGAAAACCACCCGATACCAATTTTGAATAGAATCTGCCCATAATCACAAAACTCGTCCGCCATATTGGATCCGTCATTTTGAATTTTCCTATTTTGACAAATTATTCTGTAACATGAAAATTTGCCTTTTCGTGTTCCATATTGTGAATTCTGAAAATAGGTAATGAGGAAGCTTTGTAGAGATGCACTGCGTAACTCAATGATTTCTTTTCTAGGTTTTGAGGTACTGTGTAATTCCATCTTGTTAAATGTTTTCATTTTCAATGTCCATGACTGGATGACAGTTAGGTTATTTTAGTCCACTTCTTAACAATTCTTACACATTTGTCAGATGCCCATGAATATTGTTGTTTCCATCATAGTCTCTTGCCAGTAGAAGACTGTTTGTCGCGTTTAGTGGCAGTGGCCTGTAATGGTGCAGGGATATTTGCAATTATGTATCGACTATCGTATCGACTATCGTATCGACTATCGATGTCATGATCGATATTTAATATTTCTTTCAAGTTGCATCCCTGAATTTTACTTGAATCATATTATTTGGGTGGCTAGATTGACACTGCGCAGAGACGGATTTTGGTTTGTATTATTTTTTTTTGAATAGATCACAAGTGCTCTGATTGACGGAAACTTGTTATTTGAGCAATTTCCGTTTATTCATCCTTCTTGCTGATTCCTTCTCTTGCGAAAAGGTTTCATGTGTTGAAGCAAAATGAAGCCCTTTTTGATTTTGACTCTCGTGCGATCAAGTCAGGTGGTAGACACCTACTTTTGTGTTAGGCCTTTCCGATAGGAAGGTAAGAAATATTAAATCTCATTTTGTGTGAATGATATTCGATGGGGTATCTACATTTCAGATATCACGGCCTTATACAGGGGAGCAGGGGGTACAGACTGAGTGGATGATATGAACTCCATTTTCTTTTGACCACATGCTATGTTTCTGGACTTGAATTGATTTTGAGCAATCAACACTGTTAACTGGATGGATCACTAAATATCGAATCTCATCAACTATGGGCATTTAGAAATCTTGAACTGTTTTCTGGACTTCACTGTTTGGACATCACGTGACACTTTTTTCGATGGTTGAGGCACCTGAGGGATCTTCGTGCTTTGAAGCCTGAGTCACCAGCACACTTGAAGGTGGAAGCAAGACCCTGGTGATTTCTTGTGCATGTCTCTGGGCATCTATAGGACCCGACAGCCTGGAATTTCTGGCAGAATCCTTGCTGCCAACAGTGCAAGTCCCTAGCAGCCCTTCTCTGGTTTAGATAGCCAGTGATCCTGACTTCTGACAGGAAGTCCAGGGGAGTCCAGACTCCCGGTACGGTTGATTAATCCTTAATCCCTAGGATTTTGTTACTTTGGAGCCTGAACTCCCAGAGCCCAGTCAGATAGTGAGACGTCCTGGTCCAGCTTGGATGATAGGAAGAGCTTGCCCTGGTGGCAGCCTGTGGACCCGTCAGCCAGAGTTGCAGTGCAGAATCCAGTTGTCCTGGGATACACCAAGTGCCCAGGTCTCCAGGTGGTTGTGAATCCTGTCAACTGTGTGGGGATCCAGTTTTCCTAGCACACCTAACCCCTACCGCCGACTGAGGGAGGAGTGTCTTTGTTCATCCAGGTAGTGAGATCTATTGGACCACAGTTGGAATCTCATGGTTCAAAATCCAGAACTTGCAGCTAAGGTCAGAATATTC